CTCTGCGAGCCTTGATGACATTGAGAGACCTATAAACAGGAAGTCAGTAAGAAGCTCAAACGCGCTACTTCCGAACAAGCTTACGATTGAACGGTATTTAGAACCAGAACAATACCACCCTGAACCATATACCACTCATTGAAAGGCAGGTTGTAGATATAGTTCGGAATGAAGCCCTGTGGAATTCCAACAGTTGGCAGCATGGCTTGCTGCCAGAAACTGCCACCCCCTTGACCGCTGTAAAGGCATACACAAGAGTCAGGATTACAATCCCCTCCACTGGTCCAGAGACTATGCCAAGTGTAAGTGTCTTCGTGTGGTATTCGTCCCAGGTTTGCACGTAGAAAGTCAAGAGCGCTACTTTTGGTTAACATAGGTCAAGGCTATCTGCAGAAGCAGACTCACAAGCAAAAAGTGTCATAACAGTCTTCCAGCCCATGCCAAAGTTTTGCGAAGCCGCGAAGATCAGTACTTCGAGAGATGTGTTCAAGGCATCGACACCATGATCGAAAAGTTCTCCCAGTGGTCCGCTCTGATGTGTTCTTCGTCTACGCAAGTATTAGCCAGTATTCCAACTCCTCTGAGAGTGAAAACAAACGCTTGTGTCCCATCCACAGCATCAAAAGTCTGGTACAAGAAGAGTCCCACAGCCCAAGAAGCATACACCCAAGGCGGACAATCCTGATCAAGCGTCGGCGTATACCACAACAACGTCAACACATTAATGATCACGAAACTGAAGCCAGAAAGGGTAATCAAGTTCGGCGCCATCGATAGGGGAAAACATTTTATAACGAAGTTGGTGTAGAAAGGCTTTAACACGTATCGCGACAATAAGGAGTGGTCGACGCCGGAATATTTGTATTCCTTCAGGTTCGGGAGTTTTTCCTGTCGCACGTACACCATGATTGCGGTAGTATGGCGGGATCAGTCGAGGTGTTGAATGTGCTCGAGTCGATCGGCTTTGACGGAGGATAGAGGGGTGAAGCCAAAGTTGTTCTTTATGTTCTGAATCGCGAAATCAAAACCAAGGGACGCGACGCCAAGACCACCGAAAGTACGTCATTTAGCCGATATCAAGGATACTCGAGATTTCCCCGGGAATAGGGTTTGAGACAGTGGCCGTTGTGGCTTTCACATGAAAAATCCATTTCAGGTTCACTTACTTGACTCAATACCTACTTACACAGGCCACCATCGATACGAAATCTATTACTGTTTCATAGAGTGTTTGGATTTTTGTGACCTTCCGGACTCCTTACTTTGAGACCAAGAGAAGCCAATATCTGTGGCTTAGGGAAACCATTATGTAGACATCAACCAAATGCGTCATGACATGCTCAACTCCTTTTCCTCGCTATTCCTAAGCAACAGACCCAATGACTAGAGCAGCAATTCCTTCTTCCTCACTCCGAACGACAATCTTACTCGTAACTCCAGATTTTGTAGAGTATGCCATTCGGATGTTCGCAACAACCCTTCCACCTGTAACAGTCTTTCCGAAAAGCTTGAGAGTATGAGTAGTAGTGTTGATTGGTACGTCGGTACCCTCGAGAGGTTGTAATGAAAGAGTCTTGGCGAGTTGTTCTGTGGCATCTGAGAAGATTATCAGCATTTTGATAGGAAAACTTCCATAAACATGACTTACCTGCAATGCTCTTGACCCCGCTGAGCTGAAGCGTCTCTTCAGCTTCTTCACCAGCAGCACCAACTTGCTCCCAAATATGGTTGAAGTTACCAGCGAAAGCTGGAACAACGTAATCACTTCCTGTCAACTCCAAGTCTTCAACCTGATACTCGTCATCATAACCACTTTCCTCTGGCTCTCCTGTTGTTGGGTCGATTTCCTTTGTCGTAAACTTAAGAACATTCGTGAAACTGCTGGCAGGGAAAGAGCCTTCCCCGTTGACCTTTTTGAAAGAAACATAAATGGTGCCTGGCTCGTTAGTGACGAGCTTAGTAGCAGGTATGATGAAGTCCTCCTCGAGCTCATCTTCTTCTGCAGGCGTGGCGACCACGGAAACATCCTCGAGCACAGTATCTGGAAGAGTATTCTTGACCTCGTATTGGAGAACAATATGCTCCTTGAAAATATGCTTGACAACACTGACGACATATTCTGTTTCTGATTCTGTCAATTCCACCTCAGGCGAGGACTTGAGAACACTGCCATATGGCTTCATTTCTGGTATCCGCAAAAGTTCTTGTTGGTATTTCTGAGCAGCTGCAGAAGCAGATGCAGCGGCCTCGGTACTTGAAGGGGTCGTCTTTGTAGGCCCCGCCTTGGGAGCTTTGATGGTGGGCGTGACGGTCGTGAGCTTCTTGGTTCTGTCTTCGGCATCTGCCTGTTCCTTCGTAACGACTGGAATGGCCGCAATATCGAAAGGGTTATCAAAAGTTGACTTGTCGTCTGCCGTGACATACATGACAAGCTGATGCTCAAAGTATGGGAGTGCAAAGGTATTTTCTGCCAATGAATTAGAAAGTTTTCAGAAGCTAGATAGGCTAATAACTTACCATTCTTGATGAAGCGATCAGCCATTTCATCAGATTCGGTCATAAGTCTTAAGTTCAAGGCAGCACGATCGCGGACCTCGTCGTCAACATCGTCCAAGCATCGGGTCAGGAGAACTGTGACACTGCGCTTGACTTCCGGGTCTTTTTGGCCAACACCGAATTTCGCAAGGGCAGTTACTGCCGCAGCTCGAACAATTGCGTTCTCTAGGACAACACGGTTGTAAATGTATCGGATGTACTTTGTGGGCTGGGAAGTCTTTGGTCCCTCCAGACCCAAAAGATGGAGAATGCGAACAGCAAGTTTTGTGAACTCGCAATCTTCGATAAATTCACAAAGATGTGCCAATGCATCCTCTTTGGAATCTGGAACAAACTTGATCAAATCAAACATGCTTTCAACAACCGCACGCTTGAATTCGTAACCTCCCTCGTCTCGTAAAATGCCACTCAGGAATGCAAGCATACCAGCTTGTTTGCTAGGGAACTTGAGGCAAAGTGTCCGGATGGCTTCCACAATCGTGATCTTGAATTCGTCCGTAATATCCGCCATAAAACCAGAAATTTGCTTCATGAGACGATCAACACTAGCCTCGTTACCTGTCTTGAGAAGAGTAGTGATGGCGAAAGTTGCGATTGACCGATTCGAGTTGGAAATAAGAAGCTCAATATCTGGGTTGCATGAGTGAACCGCCTGAGGCTTGAAAGATGCGAAGTTGTGGAGGATTCGAATAGCAGCAAATTTGGTGACCGCCCGTGGTGAGGTCAAGAACAATTGGAGAACATGAATGGCCTGAGTTACTTCAGCGTCGGTGACATCTCGCATGTCACAAATTGCCTTTGCAGCCTCGAAGTTGACCATCTCGCTCTTATGTCGAAGCCAGCCGTCCAGTAGCTGCATCATAGGTCTCCGCAATTGATGATCCTCCTCTGCCAACTGTGCCGCTAATCGAACCAACATAACTGTAGCTGCTGGGCTCTTTACCGCACCTGCTGTGCCAAACTGCTGGACCATCTTAACCAAGGCCATCCTATCATGCATCCTCATTTGATACAGCAATCCAATCGCATGGTATTGTGTCATGGTCGAGTTGTTTACAGGCATTTGGTTTGCTGAAGAGGAGAATCCGAGAGAGAAGCCGCCAGATGATTTTGTAGATGAAGCCGCTTCCTGTGTCTCGCTCTGCCATCTTCGAACAACGTCCCGCGCAATCGGAAGAAGGTGGTATGATGAAACTAGAGCAGCGGATGAAACGGATGGGTTCTTGTCAACTATTGCCGTCTTCATCACACGCTCAATACTTTGCACCGTAGAGCCCTATTACAGTCAGCCCAAAATTCCCAAAATGCGCCAACAATCTTACATCAATAATCCGACACAGTGCCCGGATAGCATTTGGTCTGTATATTGCGTCGGTACCACCACCAGTATCCTTCATGATTGTACTTGTGACCATAATAATATCCTCCGCCGAGTGAGCAAGCTCCTTGATAATGAGGTGGACCATCTGGCGCAGGGAGGCATCTTTGTTCTGGAAGAGCTTCGAGATGCCAAAGAAAAGGGTTGTGGCTTCGTTCGTGGGGAATCGTTCGCCGGTGTAGAGTAGGAGGGCAATCTTAGTAAGGAGGACTCGACATCTCCGAGGTTGTATTGGGGAGGAATTGAACAATCGTGCTATTCGATATCAGCTGGGTTGAGGGGGTTGTGGTGGGTTATGCCGACCTTCTTGAAAGACGGACGTCCTGTCTACCCGCATGATTGCGCTATCACCATCCTCATCTTTTTTGCTGTAACTCATGGTGGGCGAGGTGCGCTCCTCAGCTTCATGAATTGCAAGACAAAGTGTTTGGAGATCGTAGCAGTTATGATAGAAGTCGCGATGTAGAGGTGTCCAAAACGGTGTGGTCGCTTATGGCGGAAGGTCTTGGCGTCCGGGACCCAGGGGTGGAAGGTCCCGCTCCAATTCACAACTTTCGTTACTCCTCGCATCATCGCTATTGTCGAATTGCAGGTTCGGGGGAATGATTATACTTTGCTTCTAGTTTCCAATTCAAGCCCTTGGCTAAGAAACTATCCATTATATACTTTTATATATTTTACTTGGAAAATTTAATTCCGTAGTATAAATCCAGAAAGGTTTGGACAATTACAAACATTCTGTTAAGAGGCATTAGGGTAATGGAAAGGTCAGAAACTTACGAAATTGTATATATCCGGCGATTTGAGACGTTTTCAATTGTACTCTCAGCTAGTAAAAGGCTTTTGTTCCCAAGCAAATGGGTCACTATCACAGTCATAAAAGAAACAAGACTATCAAGACCTTGATATCAAGGCCCCCTTTAGCATACTTTATCGCCTGGTATCTGCATATTCTTGCAAAAGGCAGAGTTGTAGCTGTATTCTTAAAGGGTAGCCAAGTATATATATACTTTAATATTATTGTTCATAATGGGAAAAGCAAAAATATTCAAAAAGTTATTTCACATTCCGGTACCGGGAATCGAACCCGGGGCTGCCCGGAAACCTGATATTAATCATGAAAGCGGGCTATGTTAACCCCTACACTATACCGGATGGGATTTAGTTGTCAAACTGTAATCTGTTTGCTCTGTTTGTTGCAAGAAAAGTGCTTAATTCACACTATATTCTTAAAATTATTCGCCGATAAGCGAGACTTATCTGGGTGCTTGCAATTGGTGGCACTGCCTCCTAGTGGGGAACGTGGTGGTGGGGTAATCTTAGCACTTGGAACAAAAGCCCACGGAACAAAAAGAAATGAGATTACCACAGTGACTTGGTTACTTACAGAATCAAAGAATCCTAAATGCATTCACATATTTAGGTTCCATCTTTAAGCATATTAGCTTACAAACTGATCATTGTTCTGAAAGTACTTGATATATTTGATATGTTTTGATACACTCTGGTATAGTTTCGTTTTTTTTCCTTTGTTACTCTCACTTTATACAAATTAATCGTAAACTATTCTGTATTTTAGAGCTTTAGTATATTAAAACAATAAGTTTGACTCTATATTAGTTAAGTGTTCTAAAATCTGAATCAATTGGACTCGCATTGAAATCTTCCCACCTTCTCTCTAACTATAAAATCTGTCTTATTTTCTATCCTAATACTATTATGTTACAATCTGTTTTGTTTTATAGTATGCACCTTATGCTTCATATACGAAATTATAGACTATTGAAAAATTTGTATGGTTTGTTTCTATTATTAAAACTGTAAAAATCGCAAAGACAACCTATTTTTAGAGAGGCCCTCCACTTCAAATAAAACCTTACAACATATCTGGGTAGTACTATCAATATAAGAAGTATTGCATATTGGTTGCCGCACAAGCACATCATCAGTGCGCAAACTTCCAAGAATACAGTAGAGCACATGCTAAAAAACAGAGGAGCCTCGTCCGCCAAGGCAGAAGGCTGTGTAGATATACATCTTCTGTTTCAGTATACCATCCAGAACAAATTAGCCATTTATTCAGATATTAACTTTTTAAACCATGCCAAATCCCCAAATTTGCCATTTGTTTAATTTGATATCAATTTGTTATCAAGTCCTAACCTAACAAAAACTGCGACTGTATTTAGATGAGATGAGAAACAATCATATGCTCGCAACACAACGTCACATACAATACTTGAAAAAGGTTTTCCAGGGGACTTCTTTGCCAACAGAGAAGCCAGTCAAAAAGTAAGTGAGAGGCGCGCCAGCGTCTCCGACGGCTAGCTCTACCTAAATACAGTAAAAAGTTGCTGGCACTGGTAAATGTCGCTGCCACAAAGCCATACGCCCCGAAATCGCCACCACGCTACTCCGTATGCTCCAAAGGACAGAATTGACTCCACCAGCTCGTTAAAGAAACTTCCGAAGCCATGTATGGATGAAGAGGGTGTGCTGCGTCCGATAATAGGCTGAATAATCGATATACGTCTGCCACTGCGTGCCAACACCAGAGGCTCTATGCAAAGTGAAGAAAATATGCTGCAAAACTTGGGGAACACGAAACACGTCCAATGGCAACCCGGATCTCTGGTAATTGCCGCAAGGAGACTTTTCAGGAGCTCCCGAGTCTCACGTAACTACTTTCTTTGGAAACGCATTGTACTCGTCTCTTCGCCACTGGGCGTCTCCTCCGCAAATAGTAAGTGCTTGGAATATGTTGGAGTTGCAGGATGCAGACCTGTATGAATGCGCTCGACGGCACAGGACAGCCAAAGAGCTTGTGGAGCGCACTCGTCGTATCAGAACCACCCAACCACTGTCTTTGCCGCAGAAAATTGCGGTCAGAAGCCAGATACCTGGGCTCGCTGTATGTGAGACGGGCATGCTGATCACCGCCACCCATCAATGGCCCGTGATGCCAGCAAAGAGATGGGTGCAAAGTCGCGCTGCAAGTGATTTCAGGGGCGCGAAAGGAATGATTGGGGTATTGGGGGAGAGCCATTCGGGGGAAACCCACCGCCAGTCTAGGCACTCAGGACACGACACAGTGACAGTTGGGCCTGAACCGAGAGCTGGGAGCCCTGACCGGAGAGGATGCAAGCGTGTGTAAACTGCATAAATTGCTGCAGAGCATGAGAGTTGCAAGTCGCCTGCGGGATGTAAGGCTATCGACAAGGACTAGTTCAGCGCACGTCCTGTAGCTCTCCTCTTCCTCCCTCATGATCTTTGTCCCCGACGATCATTAACTGTCCACGAAACTCCCGAACGTCTGCTACAACTTCACTCGTACCAACTCACTCGTCACAGGCGTCACTGTATCCAACTTTGCGACCAGAAAATTGCCAAAAGCTACAGGTCATTCGATCCACACCTTCCTTCCCCGCCATCCCGAGCTCACTGTGCATTGTGCCTCCCTCAACGATGGATTCAGGTTATCCTTATTTCACTGCACAAACACAGGCCTACCCATTCCTGGGACTGCCTCCAACACCTGCGCATTCAGGATCTGCGAACTCTGATGATTTCAGCAATTCTCCTCCCGTTCGTGAATACTTTCATACGTTGCAGCCTCATGCTTCCATCCTGACTCCCAAACAGGATGCTACTTCCTATGACTTCCAGAACTTCGATACATACAACCAACAACAATTCAACGGAAATGGGTTGGTGAAACCACCAACTCCGTTGCAGCACAAGGCATCGATCAGCAATGGAATAAACAATGGATATGATATGGGAATGGACCTGAACGACGATGCTATGCGGCGAGGCGGAAGCAATAGCGACGATGAGGACAATCGAACACCTGCGCAAGCTCGTCGTAAGGCACAAAACAGAGCAGCGTAGGCGGCCCGCACTTTCCATCTGATACTTTGGTCTAATGTTTTCCTAGTCAGCGTGCCTTCCGCGAACGGAAAGAACGCCATGTGAAAGATCTCGAAGCAAAGTTAGCCGCCTTGGAGAAGAACTCTCAAGATGTTGTCGAAGAAAACGAACGCCTCAAGTTACAGCTACAGAAAACCGCCACCGAAAACGAAATTCTGAAGGCTACGTCCGCACAACCAAATCGTGGAGGATCCGAACCTCTTCCAAATGCAGGACCTATGCGATACTCGCCAACGGATTTCTACACCGAAGTCTTGTACGCCCACGATAATAAGACTCCAAGCCACCGCATTGTAGTGAGCGAAACAGGTGAGCGGCTTCTTGCCGCTGGTGCGACGTGGGACTATATCATCAAACATCCACTATATATACAGGGGTTAGTCGATGTCGGAGACGTTAGTGAGCGGCTGAAGAAAGTTGCGAAATGTGATGGTCAAGGACCAGTGTTTGAGGAGCGGGAGATCATATCTGCGATTGAGTTGAGTGTTGCAAGTGGCAATGACGAGTTGATGTGAACTTTGATGAAAGGACGGCGTCATAAACTGGGTGTTATGGTTGAAAAGGCTGTTTGGGTAAGGGCCAAAGGAGTCGGCAGGGTTTCTCATTGGGTTTTCATGAGGAGTTATACGATTTACGCGGTGGCCAGATTTGAACACTAAATTATTTGTTTATGGTATTTACTTCTGGGAAGAACTGGGACAGCTCGAGTGATCGACCGGTGGTCTATGTATGTTTTGATCCCTACTTCAAAAATACCTCGATTCTGTATACCTAGCATTTGAATGCTTTCCGCGTCTCTGCTTTCGTCCTTCAGCAAACTCCTATCATTGCTTTCTTGTCCTTTGAAACCCTAGTAGTGGCTAGAGACTTGATTGCACATTGAGGGATGCGAATCACTGGCAGAGAACCCTTGGAAATTTCGTCTCTGTTTCATATACCATTCTGGAAGCCGAGCAACGAGATGACGACGGGGTCTCCAACTTCCCAAGAAAGCTTAAATCGCCAAGTAGCGACGAAACATATTAGCATCAAACCACACAACCATTCTTGTGCGTATTGCCAACACTTACATTTGTCACTTAGCAAGGAAGTCAAATGATCGCCTAGCCATGTTCGTTTAGACAAGCGCAGTAATTTCCCGACTCGATAGCGATCATATGCGGGCAATTTACAGCGTCATGTATGCCATGTTGTGGCACATGAGCGTCAGCAAACCCATGGATTCACGGAGTATTTCCCTCCCCAACACTACATATTTCTGCATGCTCCTCGCGAGCATTAAATCTCCTAAAAGGAGGGAGAAGTCTATCGATTACCGCGCAAACCAGGGTTCAAATACCGAGGGATTCTTTACTAGACCATTAAGTGGACTCTATATACCGTTTTTACCTTCTCTGCTCCCTTCACTTCTCCTTAGCATGGTTTTTTTGACGCAAAGTTATCTTCTTGTTATTTCTTTGCCACAATCTTAAGTTACGCCAATCAATCAATCCCGTTCTCTATAAGCTATGCATTTTATGATAACAAAGGTGCCAAAAGTTCCCTACGCAGATTTCCATTAGACTACCCATGCTCTACACCATTATTGTCCTCGGACATCAGTTTTATGCAAGCCATGTTGCTACAGTCACTGCCATACTCTCACCAGAAGTTTATCGTGTGTAAAACGCTTATACCGGAAGACAATTCAAAAAGCTTTGCAGCTAAACCTCACTTCTCCATGCTGAAAGTCGTTGCAATCTATGGATCGCTGTTGATTTACATGTGCCAGCTCTACAGCTGTACTCAATAATAGAGTCAGGTTTGTCCCAGTTAGTACGGAGCTCTCCCTATTAAAAAGAGGCTGCATGATCCCGTATTCGACATTTTCAAGATCTGCGCTTTACTCTGTTTTGGATTCTTTATCCTCATTAATTCTAATGACTATATTATTCTTGTTCATCAATTAAATAAATAAAAAAAGGGTGCAACATAGACAGCTCACAGCAATTTTAAAATCCCAAACCCACTCCCGGATGCACTCCTAGGTTAAGCAAGGGGAAGATGTCCAAAATGAGCTCAGCCCAGTGAATACTAGCACTTCAACAGCACAAGTCAAGTTGGCATTGAATTGCGCTTTTCCTTCTCATATTTAATGTATATAATCTTTACCGCTAATCGAAGGCTTCTAGTTATTATATTACAGCGACAATTTTGTCTTTAACTTTAATCGAATCCACTCCACA